TCACTTTGGATAGTCTTGTAATTCACTTCATAGTTATGAAACAATAAGACAAAACATTCTTGCTATAGCGCTGAACTCGCGCAATGGATATGGTTTGTGTCAATTAACGGACCATTCTACTGCAGCTGTGGCATCGTAGCTGTCACCTGTCACTCAATAGGCTTTCACTACAAGGAGGAAGGACCGGTCGGTTCAAAACATACAGCAGTTCCCTCATTATTCTCTGCGTTCTGCACTCGTTACTGCAGGCACAAAAGATGTCCTCACATTCACTAACTATAATCACGGAGGGATCACTTGCCACATCAGGTTCTCATAAGCTAATTTTTCCTTAGTTAGGTCTCATTTACTTAGTAATTATCCTAAATTCAATTTCCTACTGTTAGATCGTGCTGTCGAGGAAAGGAGGTTCCAAGAGTTCTGATTAACTCTATTTCACACTCCGTTTGTCGTTGATTTGTGCAAAGAGAGAAGTCGTATTTCCGTCGGGCCAAAGTTAGTGGGAACTCATGCGTGGCGGGCTGGCCGGGCGTGGGCGATGGCGTGGGCGGGCGTGCGGGGGCGTGGTCGGGGCGTCGGGGGGCGTGGCGGCCGTGGTCGGAGCGTGGCGAAGGCAGCGCGGGGGGGGCGGCTATGGCGGGGGGGGGCGGTGGCGAGGACGAAGTGCGGGCGTGGCGGGGCAGGGGCGGGGTATTGGGCGAGTAGTAGGGCCAGGGTTGAGCGAAGGCGTTGCAGTGAGTGGCGTGGCGTGGCGGGGCGTTGGGCTGTGGCGTGGTCTGGGTTCGTGGCGGGCGTGGCGGGGCGTGGGCGGGGCGCTGGCGGGCGTCAGGCGGGGACGGGCGGGTAAGGGATCGGAGTGAGGGCGGCTGTCGCGGCGAGGGCGTCTGATTGGCGTGGCGGCGGCAGGGGGTCGGCGTGGCGTGTTGCTTGGGGCGCTGGCCGGGCCCGATCGGCGGAGTCGTGCGGCACGATGGCGGGGGATGGTTTGGGTCGCGCGGGTGCGTGGCCCGGCGGTTGGGCCGGAGTGAGGCGGGGTGGCGAGGCGGGCGGTCGGCTGGCTGGGGTGGGTCAGGGCCTGGTGGCTGCGAGGAGGGGCTGATGTGGTTGTGATGAATGGGCTGGCTGTGTAGGTGCGGTGGTGGCGTAGGGCGTTGCGTGGACGCGGAGGACGGTTCGGGGCGTTGAGTGAGGGGGCGGGTGGGTAGGAGGCGTGGCGGGCGGGGCGGGGGAGGCTCCTCTACCGCCACCTGCTTGCGAGGCCTCGTGTTTCGCGTTCGCCTTCCGCGCCTGTTGCCCAAATCTGCGCCGTCTTTCATCCTGACGGAGCCCTTCGCTCAACGTCTGCCGCAGGAGGGCGGGCGCGCCCTTCGGCCCTCACGCCCCCTCTCCCCCCCCACACACAAACACCAACTTCTATAACCAGCCGGCTCAGGGCATCTATTGATGTCAGTGCAGTTCCTCTGATCGGGAGGTCCTAGTTACAGTCGCGACGGTGGCAAGATTTTCGACACTAGGTCGAGTTCAGCCGTTGGGTGGAGGAGGATTCTAGCGGCCGGCTGCTCTTATCGGTAGTTTTCCGGGGTTTCTCCGATCAACACCGGGTGAATGCCGGAGCAGTACCCTAAAGAATGGGCCTCGGACCGCGGCTATCTTTCCTTCCTCTTCTTTGTACTCACCCTTTTTTAAATTTGATGTTAAGACACATGATGGCCAACACGGATTCGGGAGTGGTTATTCATGTAAAAGTCAGGTAGCCAAGCTATTTCAGGTTCTAGCAGATGAAATTGTCGCGGACGGGAGAGTAGACGCAATAGTTATAGATTTTGCCAAAGCGTTTGCTGTCGTTCCCCACGATCGGCTCGTACAGAAATGAATGAATTCAAGCATAGATTTCAGGGTGGTGACGTGGATTAGCTAGTTTCTGCGAGACAGAAAACAGAAAGTCCGAATTGGCCATGAGTACTCTACCGGGTCAAGCGTTACGTCAGGAATAGCGCAGGGGAGTGTCATTGGACCTCTTTTATTTCTAGCGTTCGTCAATGATCTGCCAGCGCACTTAAAACAAATATACGGCTATATGCAGACGATTGCATCATATATCGAGGTGTGAATTCGAAAGAAGACGAAGAAATGTTGCAGCAGGATCTTGATGTGTTACATTGCTGGGCGGAAAAAATAGAATGACCATAAATAGCTTCGAAAGCAAATCCATCATTTTTGGAAGGGGTCATAATTCTAGGAAAACAAAATACCGTTTGAATAAAGACATTATTCCGATAGTTCCCTCATGAAAGTACCTAGGAATCCATTTCGATAGTAAATTAAGCTGGAAAAGTCACGTAGATTTTGTTGTAGGGAAAGCCTGGAGATCTCGTCACCTTGTAATGCGCACCTTAAAAAAAGAGTACGGCAAACACGAAGGAAATTTCTTATTTATCGCTTGTTCGTCCGATAATGGAATACGGAACAATTTGTTGGTATACGCACAAAATTATGCAGTGTAAACATTCAGAAAGTATTCAGCGTAGGGCAGCTAAATTTACTTTCAGGGACAAGAAAATGGCAAAATGGGATTCACTCGAAAATAGGTGATAGCAAGGCTGTGCGCTTTGTATAAAGCTTATAGCGTCATCGAGCTTGGAAAAAAAATCGGCGAAGAAGTATTCCTACATACATTAGTAGGGGGAATCACAGGCACGAAATAAATTTAAGGCCGCAGAGAACAGATGTGGGGAAATTTTCTTTTACAAATCGAACGATAAAAGAATGGAATTCATTACCTGCAAAAAAACCTTAGAACCCGTACAACAGTGTAGGAAATTAATTTAGGGTATTACTAAATAAGTGAGGGTCTTACCTGTCAGTAGTAGGTTAAAGAGCGATGCGTAAGTAATATATTGTGAAGTGAGGTGTCGTGTAGTGTAGAACAGAGAAATAATGTAGGAAGTGATTAAAGGGTCATAGTGATGTGAAGTGCAATTGAACAAAAATTCAGAGCGGTGTTTGAT